CCCCACTTGGTAGTCGAGGAATGAAGCAAAGATGGACCAATGGATTTGGTGAATACATAGGCCGACTGATTATAGGACCAAACAAAGCACAGCTTGATAATTCCCGAACAAACCTTCTCTCTGATAAAACGAATGTCCACCTCTATATGTGTGATCCTCTCGGGAAGAACAGCATCTGAAGCAAGTATGATGGCTAACTTATTATCACAAAACAAGTCTGAGGACTGTTTTTCACCTAACCCTAGCTCCTCCAAAAAAGATCGAAGCCATAGAATCTCACAACTACCCTGAGCCATAGCACGATACTCAGCCTTTGCTAAAGATCTCGAAACTACAGGTTGCTTCTTACTTTTCTAGAATATAAGATGGTCTCCATAGAAAGTACAAAAGCCAGATGTGGAACACCTGTCAGTCTTAGACCTAGCATAGTCTGCATCACTGAAACAGGATAGCCCAACCTACCTGCTAGAAGGATAGAATAATCCCAGTCTAGGACAGGACTTAAGATATTGAAGAATATGATATAACACATCCATATAAGTTGTATGAGGAGCATGCATAAACTGGCTCACAACACTAACCGCAAAAGCTAAATCAGGACAGATGTTGGTAAGATAAATCTATCTTCCTACCAAGCGCTGATACTGCAAGGAATCAAAAAGGAGATCTCCAAACTCAGCCGAGATTTTCAGATTAGGATCCATAGGAGTGGAAGCATGTTTACACCCAAGCATACCCGTGTCTCGAAAAAGATCCAAGACATACTTCCTTTGCGATAAAGAGATACCCTAGTTAGATCTAGCAACCTCAATTCCCAAGAAATATCTGAGCTGCCCAAGGTCTTTCACATGGATGTCATTCCCAGTAATGATGATATCATCAACATAGACAAGAAGAATGATACATCAAGCAGTAGAGGAACTGTGGATAAAACATGTATGGTCAGAATGGCATCTAAGAAACTCCATAGATAGAATTACATCACTGAAGCGGTTGAACCATGCTCTGGGAGATTGTTTTAATCCATACAAAGACTTCCGCAATCAGCAAACCTTTCCAACATACTCCCCCTCAGCCCGAAAACTGGGTGGAGGATCCATGTAAATAATCTCAAAAAAATCACCGTTAAGGAAAGCATTCTTCACATCAAGCTGATGAAGAGGCCAATTGTGAGAGGCAGCCAGGGAGACAAGCAAACGACCAGAGGTTAATTTAGCCACTGGAGTGAAGGTATCATTAAAGTCTTTACCAGGAATCTGAGTAAACCCTTTGGCCACCAAACGGGCCTTATACCGATCAATAAAGCCTCAGCCAGATATTTAACACTGAATACCCATTTGCAGCCAACAGCCTTTTCACCAGGAGGGAGAGAATAAGCTCCCATGTTTCATAATGCTGCAAAGCATCTATTTCTACCTTCATAGCATACATCTAATTGGGATTCCAGAGAGCCTCAGACACATTTCTGGGAATGGAAATGGAATCAAGTTTGCCTAGAAAGGTTCGGTAAGACCCTGAAAGACCATTATAAGAGATATACTGTGAAATAAGATGATCAGTACTACAAGCGAATCCAAATCGAGCAGGGGGTTTACGGCCCCGGGTGGGTTACTGAGACTCGAAAACAGGGTCAGGGAAATGTAAAAGAGAGAGATGAGATGTACCTGAACCTGAATCTAAGAAGGATAAAGGCAGTGAAGGCGGAGCACGAGGGCGGCGCAAATAGACCTGCACAGGGGGTGAGGAAACCACAAGAGAAGACTCTTCTTGAAAAATAGGAAGAGGACAAGCAAGAGGAGAAGCCTCTTAATCTAAAGTAGAAGTTTCATGCAAGATAGTGTTAGAACCATAAAAAAGGGATATGCCCATGAAAGGTGACATCAAGAGAGTGATACATGTGTTTGTGTACAGGATCATAACACCGGTAATCTTTTGACATGGAAGAGTATCCTAAAAATAAACATTTAATGGCCTTGTCATCAAATTTAGTACGAGAAGGGCTACGATTCTGAACATAACATGTACATCCAAACACCCAAGGCATGATGCAAAAAAGAATAATATCAGGCTGAAGCACTTGTATGGGGCCTTACCATTTAAGACTCTACTAGGGGTACGATTAATGAGAAAAGTAGTTGTATGAACCGCAATGTGCCAGTATGACTTTGGCACATTCATACCACTTAAAAGACATCGAACAACTGACATTAGTTGGCGGTATTTAGGCTCTGCCACGCCATTCTGTTGAGGCTTATATGGACAAGCAAGCTGATGAAGAATACTCTGTTGGTTAAGTTGAGACCGAAACTCATTGGAAACATATTCACGACCATTGTCAGACCTAATATTCCTAATAACATTTTGATATTGAGTTTTGATCATTTGGAGGAATTGAGCGAACAAGGGAAAAACTTCAAATTTCTTTTTAAGTAAATATACCCATGTACAGCGGGAATAATCATCAATGAATGTGACATAATAACGATGCCCCGAAAAAGCAATAACAGGAGAAGGACCCCACACATCAGAATGTATGAGATCAAACATACTAGTTACACAATGCATATGAGAAATATAACTGGTTCTAGGATGTTTAGAAAGCTCACAAATCTCAAATTGAAACTTTTTATCCTTACAAGCCGTTATTAATGAAGGGAAAAGCAGACATAAATACTGAAAATTTACATGCCCAGGGCGAGCATGTCATAAACTTAAAGTCTGAAAAGAAAATTCATAAGACCTAGAAACTGGAAGAACAGAGGCTTGAAGGCTTAAAGCAAGTGGAGGAAGTGTCGGTGGAGGATCCCTAAAGTAATAGAGGCCATCGTGCTCATATCCCCTACCAAAAACCCTCTTCGAACACAGGTCCTGTAAAACACAGTAATGAGGAAAGAAAATCACTGCACAGTTTAGTGATTTGGCAAGTTTGTAAACAGATAGAAGATTAAATGCAAAGTTGGGAACATGAAGAATAGATGGCAAAATAATATCAAGAGATAGATGAACATCTCCTTTACTACGAATAATGGTAATTAACCCATCGGCTAGACTAATAGCCCGATTAACAGGGATAATGGGAGTATAAAATAATGACAATTCACCAGTCACATGATCATTAGATTCAGAATCCAAAACCCATATAGGTTTTCCCGCTTTAACATGAAAAGCAGGAGTACCTGTAGCTATAGTAGCCGTGGGAGTAGAAGAGCCAGCCCTGGTAGATAAAGCTCCGAACTGCTCCTAAAGGTGACCAATCTGGGACTATAACTTATTGAAGTCCTGAAAAGAAGGTCTGGGAGGAGTTGAAGCAGGAGGGACAACAATTTGTTGAGTAGTATACCCACTAATAGTATCGGCTACTGTGGCAGTGCGGCCATGGCCAAAAGGACGATTGTGAGAAAATTTCTACTTTAACTCAGGATAAAGCTTAAAGCAGCGATCCTTTACATGACTAGTGGCTCCACAATATTGACAAATAACAATTCCCTCTGAAAGACTAGAATTAGCAACAAGAGCCATCTGATCAACTGGAGTCTCTGGTAAAGCTACTAAAGCTACTGGCTGAGAGATCTGACGTCTATGCTCCTCATGATCAACAGTAGCGAATGCATCATATAAATCTAGCATAGGAGAGGTGTTTACGATCCGTGTTCTAAGAGCATCATAGTCAGATCGTAAACCTATCAAAAACTGGTAGGTATGTTGGCGGACTAAAAAACTTGTAGATTCTTCAGAGAAATCGGAGAGAGGTTCATACTGTGCTAATTCTTCCCACCTAGACTGGAGGTACCCAAAATACTCTAATACTGACAACTTGAGTGTCTCCTGAGATGCATGAGCAATCTCTTGATAAAGTTCAAAGATACAATAGTCATTGCGGGAGTGGGCATAAATCTTGTTAAGGGCTTGCCACACACGAAAAACATAAATGTGAAACATGAACATATTATAGATACGCTCCTCCATTGAGTTGAAGATCCAACCCAGAATGGTGCATCTGTCCATGTCCCATGCAATATATTTAGTATCCATCTTTTTCGGTGCCTTAGCCAAACACAAAAGCCAACCAGTTTTCTGTTTCCCTACAATATAGTGTTGAAGAGAACGGGACCAAGATATGAAGTTGCGCCCATTTAAGAGCACACTAGTAACCCGTTGCGCCGGAGTATGTTGTGCCGGAGATAAAGTGTCCTTTTGGCTACTAGAATCACTCATAGTACCAAAATAAGACCGGTCCACACGTCAAAGAGATAGGAAAGAGAAAAACAAGGCCGGAAAAATCGGCGTTCCTCCAAATATGTTGCCGAACAAGCACCGACAACCCACAAAGGGTCAAAAAAAACACAAGATGGACCCTTAACCTAAGGGAATTCTCCTAAAGAAGGAGTCAAAAACAAAGGGTTACCCGGTTACCCCTCTGTTGTGTGCGTAAGCCCTGTTGCTGCACCAAGAGAGAGCGAGAGAGGTCCGGCGCAAGCAGTGTTGCTAAAGGTGCGCCCAGGCTCGCGCCTAGGCTCAAGGCTTTGGTTTAGCACCTGTTGTCATCCCAAGCTCACTGATGTCTACTAGACACGCGACTCGGTTGCACCTCGTCCTGTTTGTGAGGCGCACCTCACTGATATTTGTTTAAAAAACATAAGATTGTTCTATTTCTTAAGCCAGAAAGGGCACTTTTGGCAACTTAATAAACAAAAAAAAAAAGCCCATGCAAACGATAGAAGAAACTTTTGTACAAAAGAATAAAAAAATAAGAAAGCCCAAGAGTCAAAGTGTTAACCGAACAGCGATAGAATGAGATTGTTAAACAAAAACGAAACTCTAGTTGCAGAGATGAACGACGAAGCCATGTCAGTTCTTTCTTTTTTTTTTCTCTCTTCTCCTCTAGATCTCCCCTCTCTTCTTATCTTTGTTTACATCTCTCTTCGTCTAGTTCTCCTCTCTGTGTCTTTTTTTTTTTTTTTTTTTGCTCTGTTTTTTCTTTTTCTTTTTCTTGTTCACAATTTTTTTTTTTTTGGTTAACATATTTATTTCTTTTTGTGCTTTGTTTTGCCATTCAAAAAAACATATTTTGCTTTTCCTTTCAAGAAAACAAATTTGTGCTCTGTTTTATGGTTGTTGGATTCTTGTATAGTTGATGGATTTACTTTTTTATATTTGATATTAATTTTTAGAATATTGATATGACTTATGAGCTATGAAGCACGGACGCAACAGGGATACGGCAATAAAATAATAATATAATTGTTATTATATATAAAAAAAAATTCACTTTTACTTAATTTCTTATATATATTAATAAATACAACTCATTTAAATTAAGCCAATCACCTTTTTTTTTCAAAAACATAAAGTCAATAGTACCTATTCCATTAAAATATATATATATATAGAGCTCTATTTACAAAATGAAATATATATATATATATATAATAACACAGATAAGATGGAATCTTACCTAACCCCCTCTTTCTCTTCCCAGTAAACTCTTTTTTCAATAACCCATCTCTGCTCCTACCAGCCATTCTCTCTGATCCCCCTCTATCTTCACAATCTGAGATCTATAAACACAAAAATAAAATCAATTTAACACCTTCGTGCCCCAATCGTTTCCGATCATTCTCTTACTTCTCTCTATCTTCACAATTTTTACATCTATAGATACATCAAACCAATTTCGATTTCAATTAATCATATATATATATATATATATATATATATATATATGATACCATGTTACACTGTTTTGGCTCCCCTCTCAACTTCTTCCTCTGGCTCTCTACATCTTCTTCCTTCACTGCTTCAGGCAAAAGGGGCACGATGAAATAGCTCAATCCCGAAATGAAAATGTTATACCTCAATACATGGGAATCAGATCAGTTCGTGTTCGATCGGTGTCCGGCCGTGTCTAATCGATGTCCGGTAGCATCGAATATATTAAAAAATGTAAGACACGGTTAGAGCGTGTTGGACACGTGTCCTGGGACACGCGTGTCCGTGTCGGACACGTGTCTGACACTGGTATGTAGGCCCTTAGCGCCGTGTCAGTGCTTCATAGCTTATGAGGTATGAATGTTATTATGATAGTTTAAATTTTCAATTGTGCGTCTCACTTCACTCAGGCGAGCGCCTCACACCTAGGCTCCAAAGGACCTCTAACGCTTTGGTGCGCCTAGGGTCTTTAATAACACTGGGCGCAAGGGCTGGGAGGAGATAGAGGTGCGCCGGAGTTGAGGGAAAGAGGAGAGAGGGAGAGAAAAGGTGGCGGCGTTGGGGAAGGAAGATGAGGAGGCTTTTTGTTTTTGCTCTGATACCAAAAAGAAATAGTTTTGGGTTTTAACTGACTTACTCAAACCGAGAGCCAAGAGTTATATTTATTTACAAGAATAGGGTACAAAGAAAATAAACCAAATCAAAGAAAAACAAAAAATATGCCAAAATCTACGTGATCGCATGATTATGGGAATTTTATCTACTTGATCTCATGATTAAGGGGATCGTATCTACATGATGCCATGATTATAGGGATCTTACATAAAAACACCTAATAAAAGGCTAAAAACAGCTAATAAAAATAATAATAATAAAGATATTTCAACAGGATAGATTAGTGGTCTATGGGTCTCATTTTGGGTCGTGATATCGATCATTATAAGCAGTCATTACCATGTCAAAAGCAGTCCAAATTGTTTCAACATTTCATCCTTTTTGTTTTCAGGATATGCTCCCTTTTGAGCATGCTTTATTGATCTTTTACTCCTCCCAAAAAGAAATCGTCCTTTCAGGTTTTAGTCCTTAGAGACGTGCATTGACATGCAATATCTAATCATCATCGGCAATTTCTACTTCTACATCTTCTTTTTTTTTTTTGATAAATAAAATTTTATTAAAAAATGCTCAAAAGGGGAGCGGAACCCAAGAAAAATACAAAAGACTACAAAGGCCTCAAGCCTTCAAGGAGGCCAAAAAGTCAACAATCTCCTCCAACGATCTATGATCTCTCCTTGAAACCCAACAAAAAAGAGTGAAAAGATTCGAGAATTTAAGCACCAAAATCGACATCGCCTTTCCTTCAAAACATCTCCTATTCCTTTCAAGCCAAATACACCACCACACACAGAGCGGCGTAGCCCTCCACGCATCCTGACTATGAGCCCCCACAAGGCAACCTCTCCACGCCTCAATCAACCCTCTAGCGGATCCTGGCATAACCCAAGAAAACCCAAATAAGCCAAGCATCAAATCCCAACACTCTCTAGCCAAAGAGCAATGAATGAAATTTGCTATTTTTATTTTAACCAAACATTCCCTAAGTTTATAATCATAATCCATTTCACTACCTTTTGAGCTTAATTTAAGACTCCAAATCACATAATTAGTTGCTTTTCAAAATTTTCAGCAACTAAATTCTCTGCAATTCTAGCAATTTGCTACTGTCTAACTTGTGACTTCCTAAATTAAGCCAATTCTAATCCTTTCCATCGATGAACCCTTCATTCTTTCTTTGAGAAGCTTCCAATGACCTTAGTCTGTAAGGAAACCAATTGTAAGCTACATATTAACAAGTTTTCTACAGCCATCCTACATCAAGTATATAATAAAATGCGCTCAAAATGTAAGCATAATTTCCGAATTCTAGTAGACAATAATTAAATGCAGTACTTCCTGAAAAAGAAAAAGAAAAGTGACACAATCTCACTTCCCCCTAAGGTTTCTCCCTTCGCTCCCCCCTCCATTCCAAATAAAGGTAGAAAATATACAAGAACAAGATGCATGAAGAAGCAGTCTAAGATAAATGAAACATTATTCAGGAGAAAAAGCAATTATAATTTCTAACAGAAACCACTCAAATCAGTTCATAAAAAAGAGAAAGAAAGGGGGAAGGAGGGAAACTGTGTGTAAACTAACCGCAGACTGGTATGGCGCCGTTTGGTTCTCTTCACCCGGATGCATATCTTTGTTACCTCCATTGGCTAGAGTGCCACCCTGTGTGGCTCTTGAATTTTGCTTCTTTGCAGCAGCAACCTTCTTCACAGCATCTTGCAGAGCATCCATAGCCACCTTATAAATATGAATTGATTTTGCCCCTTCTTCCACAAATTTGATGGCTTCCTGTCGTAGATTGTTATACCGAACAGTTAAAGATTCTCGAGAATTGCTTGGCAATTCAGGAGCACGTTCATCAACAGCACCTCCACTCTTGGCATTTCTTGTCCACCGTTTCAAAAGATAATGAGAAGGAAGTGTAAGAACATTTTTTGCTCTGAAAACCGATAATATGTGCCTACAAGTAATGCCAGAAAATTCAAACATTTGGCAGCTACAATTAGCTTTCATCTCAAATGCATTGAACCTAACTGTGTGTGCTTTGTGCTCCTCCCCAAATTTGGCCACTCGATATGCAGTGATTGTTCCAGAATCTTCTATTTTAGTTGCAGGATTAGCAAGGGTCTCAACCAATTCCTCTTGGAACTTCATGAATATCCTCCTGGTATAAAGGTTCGCAGCTTGTTTTTCCATAGGAGATGGCGTCTTCAAAACTGGCGTGGTGTTAGTGGTATCATAATCTGCCTTTAGTTCCTTTTCATGCCAACTTGTTACACCTTTCTCATATTGTTTAATCAACAACTGTGTACTGGTTGCTGCATTCACATACCCATCAAAGAACGAGTTCATACTGTCACTTCCTTCGCTTGTAGACAACTCTCCGAAAAACGTATCTCGCATGTACACCGGGACCCATTGATGACGAGCATTGTACATTGATAGGAGCCATTCATTGTCCATAAGGTAGTATCTCTGCAGGAGCAAATCCCAACTTGGCTCAAACTCATCAACTGTCTCAGTCTCGTTAATGCACTTCTTAAACTCGATCTCAAAAGTAGGATGTGTTTGATATATATGACCCAGTTTCTCCTGTGTTTCTTTAAACATGCTCCACTTGCAGAAACGATGACGGGTTTCGGGCAAAACCTGGGAGACAGCCATCTGTATGAGTCGATCCGGATCAGTCGTGATGGAAACAGGAGCGCGTCCAGACATTGCATGAAGCCACGTCTGGAGTAGCCAAATGAAGGATGCATCAGATTCATTGAAAATTAATGCACAGCCAAACAACACCGGTTGCCCGTGATGATTTATTCCAGTGAAAGCGGCAAAAGGTACTCTATAGTGGTTCGTCCTGTAGATTGTGTCAAACCTGACTGTATCTCCAAAATGACCATAGTTCATCCTGGAAGTTGCATCAGCCCAAAATATGTTTCCAATAGAATGGTCATTATCACCCTGAATTGCATAAAAGAAAGCAGGATTCTCCGTTTGCATTCGTTTCAAGTAGTCCAATACATGCTGACCCGCACCCCCAATGGTCCTCTGTCTGCTGCTGCTACTCATCTAGCTCCAAAAAAAAGTTCGAAGGAAAGGAAAAAAAACAAAAAAGAAAGTGTTAATAGCACTGGAGGTTCTTCACTAACACCTGATTGATTGATCCTACACATATGATAAAGGAGCAATGCAAAAAAGTTGAATCCGGAATCACAAGCTTTCTTGTTTTTGGTTTTTCAATTGGGAAGTGAGTTTGTGCATGTGGGGTGTTCTTTGGGGGTGTATGCGGGTGTAAAGGGGTGGGGGGATTGCAGTGGCATGCCCTGAATCCCACATAATGTATTTGCAATAGTTGATTATTAGTTTTACATTCTCTTCAAAATGTATAAAAGCATATATATCACTATATATACATGTATATATATGTGTAATCAAAATTATAGCAGAGACGTGTGAAACCAGTAGTGGGGGAGGGAATTGAGAAAATGAAAATGGAGTCTTAACGACGATAAAGAAACCTAACCTCTCGTGGCGGGGCAATTTTTGTGTGTTCGCTAAGAAGTAACTCTCTCTGTAGACGCAGAGATGCACCCACTATCCCTCCTTAGGGTTCCCTTTGGTCGAACGAACCTCCGCTTTCAAGGCCTCTGTAGTTTTACAGCTTACACAGTCAGCACTCAGCATCTTAAGCCCAGACCGACTCCTCCTTCCCCAACTTCTATAAAGACGCCGTGTCCATCCCCGTCCCGGATCATTAATCTGGGGCAAGCTTAAATTATTTAAACAAAAACCAAATCACATTTATCATCCCCATAGCATATATTTACAGAGTCTGCCCAATTCATTCGAAAATTATACACTCTGCTTAGTTGATTCAATAGTTGCTGTAAAATTGCATCTAAAAATTCCAACAAATCTCACATTGTAAGAAGATAGAAAATGATGGGCCTGCCTTTTCAAGTCAAGGCCCAAAGCAAAAAACAGTGTCAAAACCAGCACCCTACTGTTCAGGATGGCAACGGGCCTCAATGCGAGAGGACCTCAACCCATCCCCATTCCCATTTAGCATCCCTACTTTAATTGTCTTTTAAAATCGATTATTAAATCAAGCCGAGCCAGGTTTAATAAAGTACTTTCATAATTGTATTACGAGTCTAGAAAAGGTAAATAATGAAATAATATTTCAACCACGGTGATAATTCTTTCTCTCTTATGTGGAAAATAATGTTCAACCTCACAATTAAAACTCAAAACTTAATATTATTATAGGAATATCAAAATAATACATAGAATTTTTCATATAAGAATAATAGAAAAAGATATTTAGTGATTAGAATAGAATTAATTAAGTTTTGCTTAATATATAGCTAATATATTAGATATCAAAATAAAATATAAGAATAAAATTATAATTTATCACTATAAACGCGGCAAGGCGGGTGACCTTTCCCCATACCCAATGACCATGCAAATTTCCAATCATAACTCACATTCCCATCCCAAAACCATTTAACCACCCCTATGGGTGGGGCGGGGCAAAGAAGGGTATTTTGTCATCCATATCCCTACATAGGGGTGGGACTTGGGTAGGCCTAACCTAAGTCCCGCCCCAAAATTTTTATGGCGTGGGTAAGGTAATTAAGACTATGGGATTGGAACTGAATTTAAACTTTAGAGCTCGAAAAGTTCAAAATACAATAAAAGCTTATTTTTTAATTTTTTAAGGCTATTCGTTGTTTATGTAAAATAAAATTAAAATTAGATAATTTAATTGTGTTAGGAATTAACCTAACTTTGACACTCTTGCGGTTATAAAATGAGTCTATTTGCCGAAAGTATAAAATTAATTTTCATTGTAAGAATTCATTACCTTTGGGCAACTTGTAGTGTTGTTAACAATGAGAAAAGTTGAATTCGTGCAGGTGAAGATCAAAATCGCAACAAGTACATCAACTTCACAGCTATGAAGAATGGATACAGACACAGGACACAGGTGCCATATGACATGGATATGGCACAACGGCAAATTCTTAAAAAATAAGCCACAAACACGATACGGATACAATAATAAAATAATTTTTTAATTTTTTACCATATATAAAATTTTAAATTTTGATCAATTTCAAATTTATATTGCTAATAAACATAACCTATTTTAATTAGACTCAATCTACACTTTCTTAAAAAAAAAAAAAAAAAAAAAAAAAAAAAAAAAAAAAACACCCAAATTTCGGGCCCGTTTGGCAACCGCTTTTGCTTTAGACTAAAAGCAAAAGCAATGTTTTCTGCTTTTGAGTGTGTTGAATACTGTATCGAAGCCTGTTTCGTAACGTCTAATTGTTGCAACATTTATGGAAGCAAAAAAATAAAAATATATTTGGTAACGTCCTGAAATTCGGAAGCAAAAAATATGAAAACATATTTGGTAACATCAATGCTTCAGAAGCAAAAAGATGAAAATATGTTTGGTAACGTACATGCTTGGGGTGTAAAAACATGAAAGCACGTTTGGTAACCTCAAAGTGTTGTGAAGATATTTGAAACAAAAATTAAAAACTTGTTTGGTAATAATTGTTTCTATTTTATTTATTTAATTAATGAAATATATTTAATATACGTGACTAAATTAATTAATTTTGACACTGATTAGAAAAAATTGTAATTGGATAATGTTTAATTTTATAAACTGTATTCTTATTTCAAACTTATATTTCTATCATTGGTATTCTTAAATTAATTAAATATATTTCACCCTAACATTATTTTCTTATTTTAACAAGAGTCCAATAACATATATTTATATCATTAATATTCTTATTTTATTTATTTATATATATTTCACCCTTCTATTTGTTCAAGAATTGAAAATACTAAAAGTTACTTAAAATTGATTAGTTTATCATCTGCTCAGTTTTGTTAAGACAATTTTAAACTTTTTTGCTAACTCATTCTTATCAATAAGATTTATATATTATTATACCAGCAATATTGTGGTGCACAGTGGCTTAAATCATCACACAATGATAGTATTGTCTTTTAACATCTTGTGACACAATTACACAATGGTTTAAAATAGTATATTGCAGTTATTCTACCTGTTCAGGCTATTTTTCTGTGTAAACTGAGGTTTAACACATGAAAATTAGCTACAGGGTTTTGTAGGGGCATTATAGTTTTTTTATATGTGTATTACATGTTTGTACATATGTTTAGATAGCTGCATTACATTGAATAACTTTAATTTAGCTTGCATTGTGAATTATACAATCTTAGGATCTGTATTGTGCTTGGTTGACAAGTGGCTGTTACAAGGGCATTTTGGTCTTTCTACTTGAGGCTCAGGTGTGTGACACGTTGATGTGGTCCTAGACTGAGAGTGTGTACACTACAATTGCATTTCTTAGGGACTAAGTTTGGATAAGAATGCTATTACAACATTCTTATTATGAGTTGTAATTTATGGTATACTAGAGGACAAAACAGCTGAGTTGGCAATGGTATATTGGTCTATTCACATGAAGAATGTCAAAACATTCTCTGACCAATGATTGGCTAGAGGTGCCATGTGTATATCATTTTTGTAGTGGGACTTGTGTAGTAAGCTCAAGTATATATATGTTGTTATAGAATTTCTGAGCTTTTAAGCTTCAATGAAAACCCTAATAGTGACCTGCAATATATTATACTCGAGAGCCCTATATGAAGAACCATTTTTAAGGTCTTTGATGATGATCTAAGCTTGAAATCTTCACAGAAATGTCACTGGATTGATTATTGTTGTTGTATACATCATGAAGGTTGTTTGCTGTCAAGGTTGCTGGTGCAAGGGCTAGCTTAAAGGTTGAGATTAAGCCTGAGGTTACTGTGGTGCTAAGTCAAGGTTAAGACAGGTATATTTGAGCTATTTATATTTTCTAAGCACTTGTTCTTGAACTATACTATGCTACAAATTATTTTTCATTCTTATACGTGTGATTTGGGCTATTTGCTAGTTTAGCTTTAAGATTAATATATAGATTGATTATATCTTACTATATAATGATTGATCTATATGCGAACAAGTTTGTATTGATGAATCAAGGTTGTCGAAGTTGGTTTTTGGACTGAACTTTGGTTAACTCAGGTTTTGACCTACCAAAACCCTAAGTTCTTAAGTGAACATTGTTGTTAAGGCCTATTTGTGATTATAGTGATATATACATGATGTACTTATCATGTTTATCATTTGGGCATGTCTGTAATGGTGATATAAGGCTGTGGGATTGATTTAAGAATTTTTGGGACACAAATATTCCATTTTACCCCTCAAACTTTAGTTTCTGAAGAAAGGGTTGTAGAGGCTACAGATTGGTGTTTTGAGCTGCACAACCACTCTTATTTTTTGTACATGCTTGATTATTGTTGATATACATTCTTTTATATGTATTTAGTGAGTTGTGAGAGCTTGCAGGGTCCAAGTAAGGGTGCTTAGGATAGGGGGAGTGCAGTGTGCACTGTGTTAAGCTAGAGGCTGTGAAAACTAGTGTCTTAACTTGTACAAAGGTGTGTGCAAAGTGTGAGACAACTGAGTGTGTAATTACTTGCATACAACTAATGGAGCCTTTTATTGGCTGAGCCCAATAACCAAGGTTTTTCCCTATTGAGAAGGTTTCCTTGTATATCTTATGTTCAGTGCCTTATGTTTATTTGTTGATCTTGTTATGAACAAGAAAAAGTTTAAATTGACCAATTCACCCCCCTCTTGGTCTAACAATTGGTATCAAAGCTTTGGTCTGCATTGTAAGGTTCTAACAAGCCTATAGTTGATCATAGTAATGAAAGAAGGTCAAGTCACAAACAAGGCACTAGAATTTGATGGTTCCAACTATGATTCTTGGAAGACCAGAATAGAGGCCTTTCTAATATCTCAATCCTATGATGTTTGGCATGCCACTATATTTGGCATTGTGGTGTTCAATCCAAATAATCCTTCTGCAGATGATAAACTTGATGTAGCTAATGATGGAATGACCAAACATGTCATCTTCTGTACTCTTAAACAACAAGAGTTTACAAGGATTAAAGATTGTAAGACAACTAAAGAAATGTGGGATTCTCTTAAGGATTCTCATGAAGGGAACAATATAATCAAATAAAACAAGATACAGCTCCTGAAGATTCAATATGAAAATTGTAAGATGGAGGAAAAGGAAGCTGTAGCTGATTATATGTTCACAATCAATGATATAGTTAACAACATAAAGGCTCTTGGTGAAGACATCAAAGATTCTGAACTGTGCAAGAAGATATTGAGGTCTCTTACCCATAGATTCAATGTCAAAGTCCCCATTCTTGAAGATAAAGATTTGTCATTAATGAAGATTAATGATCTACAAAATTCACACACAACTTATGAGATGAGAATTGGTGTTCCAACGCAATATAAAAAAGAAGTTGCTCTTTAGGCCAAAGAAGTAATTGAAGAAGCTGAACAAAAGTCTAAAGATAATGATCTTGAATAAGATAAAGTAGCTTACTTAGCAAAGAAATTCAGAAAGTTCAGGTTCAAGAAGAGAACTCAACCACAAAACCTAACTTGTTATGGTTGTGGTAAGCTCGGTCACTATGTGTCTAATTGTCCTAACTCAAATGGGGCAAAACCAAAGAAAGAATGAAGGGGCCAACAACAAAGGAAGATTTGGAAGAAAGGCACTTCTCTCGGACTGGGATGTTGCTCCTGAAGAAGATAAACCATTGTGTTATCATGTGTGTTATTGTGTTAGTGTTTGTGTTATTGTTAGTGTTTGTGTTAGTCTAAGTGTTAGTGTTAGTCTTTTTGTGTTTGTGTTATTATTTTTGTATTTGTGTTTGTATTTGTATTATTGTGTTTGTATTTGTATTTGTGTGTTTGTGTTATTGTTAGTGTT